TTCCATTAAATTGATATTTTATTCACAATTAGTTATAAAATTTTTTTCCATTGGCAAAAAGTTAAAAAAATCATTTTTTCATCAAAGTTTAGTATTCGTTTGACTTTGTTTTACATGAAAATTGTCTATTAAAGTGATTTTTTTTTTTTTTACAATTAATTATGAAATTTGTTTCCATTGCCAAAAAAATATGGAATTCCATTTTCTCACTAAAAATGTGGAAAAAACAATTCAACCATTTCATGGAAAGTGTTCACGTGTGTGACATTTGTGGAAAAAGAATTCCATGAAGATTTTAGCATATCAAACGTGACAAAAGATAATTCCATTTTCCATGGAAATTTTAGCATATCAAACGGGACCTTACTCATTGAATATTTTAAAACGCCCCATTAGCCACTGAATTTTGTTCCATCAGTGTACATTACTCACCAAGTGAATGCCGTTTCGTTTAATGTCGACGTGGAGGTTTGAAATAGGACATGACCCGTTAACTCCTTTCAACTCAACATCATTTTATCAATTCGAAACACGACACTTCATCTCCCCCATCATACTTACCACCACGTCCATCTTCACCTCATGAACCAAAACCAGCACCGCCCTAAACACTGCCCCATGATCTCCTTCTGCAACAACAGCAGTAGCTCCTCCACCGCCCCAAACCCTAGCCCTAAACCTCCAAATCCATTTCATTGACATCGCAATTGTCTCTGTGAATTAAAAACAACTTCAATTCGGGGCAAAATCCTAAGTTATTTATTGTCAAAAATGTAGTACATAGCTAATTTCTGCTTCTAGACCGAAGTTTTAATTTAGGAATTGGGATCTTATTAATATGGTGATACCTGGTTTAATGGTGTGAATTGGGATCTTTACTCATGTGGTTCAGGAGGTGAATATGGAGAAGGAGGTTGTGGTGGGGAAAGAGGAGGTGGAGGAGAGGATTGTGGTTGTGGTTGTGGTTGTGGTTGTGGTTGTGGGTATGGTAGAGGTGAAGGAGGAGGACATGGAAGTGGTGGTGGTTTGGAAGTGTGTGTTTGAATTGATGAAAATGGCGTTCAGTTGGAAGGAGTTAACTGAACATGTCATATTTTTGTCGTCCACGTCGACATTAAATGAAAAGGCATCCAATCGACGAGTAATGGACAATGACGGAACAAGGTTCAGTGCTTAATGGAACGCTTTGAGAAGTTTGATGAGTAAAATGTGACGTGGTACAAAGTTCAGTGATCATTCAAAAATTTAACTTGCATTTTAATTGAAATTCAACGCTTTCAAAAAGAATCAAGAATAGATACATGGAATCGAACAGAAGGAGAGGAACAATTAGCTATGTAATTGCAATCTTTGTTGGTCGTCGTTCCGATTAGGCCATAGTCCCGCAAGCTCCTATTATGATGTAAGGTTAGAGCACCAACTCTACAAACGGATTCCGAACAGTTCTTGATTCTTAAATCAAAATCGTGGATGCGTTATGCTATTTAAGATGAACGAATTTATATCCTTTTTAGCATTTGTTTAATCTACTACTTTACTGTTGATTTATAGTTTTTTATTTGTTCTTTGGGTGTGTAATTTTGGTATTTATATTTGTTAGATATTAATTTTAATTGGCTTTTAATCCCTCCCGAACGGGGCCTAAGCCCCTGTTTGTCTACCATTTTTCAAAACATTGTTTTCTACAGTAATCAATCTCCATCACACATTCAAATAATATATTATACACATAAATCGATAAAGTTTCTTT